AAGAAACTGAATAGTAATGAGACTGCCCTCAAAACGAGAAAGAACTGAATAGTAGAAAGACTTCTACAAAGTTATATAAGAGTACAAATGGAATAGATAAAGGAAAAGTATACTAACTATTGTGATTACAACAACAGGAAAATCAGAGAAGTCGAAAACCTATCAATATGCTCACTAAAACAATTGATTTAAATGTTTCATCTACAACCCTTCGTGTAAGATGTTGAAGAACCAAACCATTCATGCATTTTACCGTTAAGCAAAATTGTGCACAATATAAAACCTGTTTAATCTGTGGTGAAGCAGGAGCAAATATATGGCAGGCTTACAATGCTATGCGGAACTTGAAGCAAGCTGAATTGTATTCGTTACCATGATTCTCAAGAGAGTAGTAAATAAACAGAAAGAAGATGACCTATTACTCAGGTATTATTGGTAAGTTACATTCAAGATAAATTGGATTCAAGTAATAAATGCTTGCAATATTTTACTTCTTTATAGAAATAGTGGTATAAATCTAAAATGTAAATAGAGCTACAAGGAGGATAATGGTTTATATAAATAGATAATATGATAGTATTACAAAAAGATTGCAGTTAAAGTTAAAGATAAAAATATGGTCATAAGGTTAGGTTTTGCCTTTAGAACAGGAAGAATAGTTATAAGGCAGCTGTGGCTATAATCCTCCATAAATATAAAATTGTATAATAATTATTATAGAAGAACTTGACAAATCAATACTAACATGATTGCAGTCAAAATGTATAAACATAAAAACAGTAGAAATAATAAGATGATTACTTACTAATTTCAAGTGTTGTAAAAAACGAGAATGAGCAGTTGAAACTGCATCATGACTGTTATAAAAGGTACTCAATTAATAGCTATTATAAGACCGTTTAGATCATGATGTATATTTTCCATCTTTCTTTAGATATCCTGTAGATATATATAAACTTTTGAAAATTAAATTTAATTATTTAAGTATATAAAATCTAAAATAAAGTATAAACCAATATTATAGTTAGAATATTTTGCTTTATTAAATAGTTATTTGAAGGCTCCTTAAGTGGCTAACATTTCAAATATTCCTTTTGAATACCTGTTATAGTATATCTGTTTTTGTAAATTGTAATATATTTTGCCAACTATATCAACCTTAACATAAAGTATAAAATGATGGACACAATAATTTAAAAAAAGTATTAATTGAAGTGCTGTTGGAAGACCTCTTAAGTGGCTAAAGTTTCCAATGCTCCTTTTGAAATCCTGCTGTAATATATGTGATTTTGTGAATTGTGTTCCAATTTTACAAGTATATGAAGGGTATTATATAGTATAAACTAATAATAAAAATCTTCTTTATTAAATGGAGAGCGGATTATGAATGTTATCATAAAGATAATACTTTTGGCTATTAGAGTTTACAAGAAACAGTATTTGAAATAAGGTAAAATTTTGGCCCGTGTGGTTCCCACACGGCTACTAACTTGTTTAATTTATTAACGCGTAGCTGTATCGCTTGTAGCGTCTCTGCAACGCCCCCCCGCGCTCCAATCAGCAACGCAAGTATGGGATACAGTTTAGGGATGGGGTGAAGGAGGATATATACTATTAAAGGCCGCCAACCGCTTCCTAGTACTCGCAAGTTTAATAACCGTGGGCCGGAGACTCGGTGGATCGGTGGTGTCTAGGTAATGCTGTAATTCTTACCCCAGGGTCAGAATGACTTACGCCGTGGGTTGGAGGGAGGAAACGGGGTTTAGGGGTGATTAGACGGTCGAGTTCCTGAGAGAGGGCTTGTTGGGATTGGTGCACTTGTAGGAGCTTCTCCGTCGTTTGCTTGACGGTTCGGTCTAGGAGGGATTGTATCCCCGTGCTTAGCTGGTCCGTTGCGCGCGGGGGGGCGCTGGGTTCTGGAGTTGGGTAGACGTAGGAGGTTTGTGAGGACATGTCTTTTGGGGGGGTGTCTTTTGGTTGCGTTTGTGGTTGTGGTTGATGGGGACCGAGGAGGAGGATGGGGGGGCTGAATGAAGGAAGTGACGTTTTGAACCAACGAACGAACGAAGGGCAAACGATGTTCGCCGGTGTTGTTGGAACCAGGCGGCGAAGCCAGAGTATGATCAAATCGATATTTTATTCGCGGTTTAATCCGGGGACAGGTTCTCCCCCCCCCTCCCCCCGCACTCCATCTGTCTAACTCTGCCAATCTGTTTAAACATCTGACAAATCTGTACCGTGCAGGCCCGCAAGTGGCCTACCAAGTCCCCTCCGGCTCCGTAACTTTTCCCCCCTCGCCCCCACCCCCCTCCACCTCCACCGTCTCCTCAACCTCCTCCTCTCTCACCACCGCCGCCAACAATGATGGCAATCCCGCTCCCATAACAGCACCACTACCCCCCACCTCTCCACCACCAGCCTCCCCCCCGCTCTTCGACTTTGAGACCGTCACCGAGTACATCATCCCCAAGCAGGAACTCCGCGACCGCCTCGTGACCGTCTGCACGAACAAATACCGCATCCTGGGCTACCCGGTGTGCCGGGAGGACCGGAAGTACGAGCGCAACAAATTCATCTTCAACTTTGCCATTGTCCTCGACGAAGGCGTCGTCGAGTACAGCACTTACAAGAGCGTTGTTAGGAAGGTGGCCAAACTGTTCAAGGCGCTCGAGGAGTAGAGCGGCTTCCTCAGCAATGAGGTTACGGCCGTGGGCGTGTTTGCCTTGATTGAGCAGGTGTTGGAGGATTTGAACAATTATTCCGAGTGCATGATTCCTATTAGTGGGTTTCTTTCTTTCTTTCTTTTTTCTCCTCTGGCTCTCTCTCTATCTTGCCTGTTTCAGGAGCGGGAGGATGGCTGACAGTGGGTGGGTAGATGAGAGTAATACAATCAATATCAAGCTTTTCACAACTTATGCTGCACCGCCGCGGGTTAAGGCTTTTCATTTGCCGGTTTGTACGGTGCAGTTGGAGCGTTTGATGGACATTAATTGGGATCTTACGATGCAGAAGGTTTTGCCGCTCTTGGATTCCTGGTTGTATAAGTTGTGGGGGTTAACAAGTGTTAAGATAGATCGTCCCCTTCATCGACGGTATAAATTCTGTCAGGATGATATCGGAACTGGCAGACGCAGATTACAACCTCACGAGGAAGTGTATCGAACATTTGCTGTATCACTCTCCCCTGTCCGGTATTATGTGTGGGTGGCCCAAACTAACGTCTGCACACCAAAAAAAAAAAAGGTTACTATGGGTGCCTAATAATAGTGGACGTCTTCTAATTTAGCACCATATATGCCCGCACCGCTGAGATCTCGATACTAGTGCAAGATCCCAGTTTGCAGGAAGAGTGTCAAGCCTACGTCTCCTACAGCACCCCTCGCATTCCATTCCCCTTCCTCCTGCAGCTCTACACATCCCTGGCCCTAGGTCTTACTCGGAAGAAATGGTGTATGGAGAACGCGACGAAGCTCAAGGGGATAGATGTCCGTCGCTTCATCTCCTTCGGGATAGTCAAAGGCTTTCTCTACCGTAGCCACAACTAGCAGGTCCCCGCGGAGGGGGAGGTGGATAGGGCGTTGCCGTTGGCAAGGTACTTGGATGGAGGCCACCATTTCGATGAGATTTGCACCGACTTGCAAGCCAGTGAGAAGGACGTTATGGGGATGTTGGAAGGTCAGGGTGTGGAGATTGTTCATCGGTAGATGTGTTTTTTTTTCCAATTTTCATATTCATTCCTTCATCCATCCATGCAACGCACGATATGGTGGTGTCTGGCACATTACAGCATGGTATGGCGGCTCGGTCTGTCCGTGGAATTAATGCTCCCCACCTCCATGGGGAAAAGCTACCCCGCAATCACAACGTGATATCCACCATATTTCACCTATTGAACAAACAACCCAAAAGACCAACGAGAGTAGAATAAAAAAGCCGTTAGCAAAACCAACCCAACTTAATCTATCGCCCACCCCTCAGCGCAAGCACCAAATGCAACGTAGCCCCCCCTTCAAGATTGTACTCGCTAACAGCTTTATCATCCGCCCTACAAGAATTTCCCACCCAATCAATCAGAAAGCCGCCCTTCGCATCATGTCATAAGAAAAAAGAGGAGGGGAGGGGTTGACAAACATCTGCTTCCCACCGTAAATCAACCTCTGCTGAGCTGGAGGAATCCCCTCCTTCTCCTCGACCCGCTCCTTGATACGGAAGACCTTATAATCCGGTTCAATGTCCAGTTCGATTTCCTTGCCAGTCAGTGTGCGAACTCTACCTTGCTGTTAGAAAGAAGAAAGCCCTTGGATGGATGGGTGGATCGGATGGATGGATGGATCGGATGAATGGATGGACGGGTGGACCTACCTGATGAACATTGTTGACGCGTTTTCGAAGGGGCTGTGGCGGTGGTTGTGGGTTTGTGGTTGGGATTGCGATGGTGGTGGTGGTGGGCCGAAAGTGAGGTTTGAGAGGTCTGTTAGGAGTTGGTTTATCGTTTTGAGGGTTTCTTTCTTTTTTGCTTGTTTGTTTGCTCGTCGTGGTGGGGGTTCGGGGGGGGGGGACTAGGAGTTTGGGTGAGGGCAAGGCGAGGTGAGGTGAGTGAATGAGGGAATGGAGGGGGGAGAGTTGGTAAGGTGAGGTGAGGGGAGGCTGTTGCGATGATTGGTTGGTTGGGACCTGGCTTTATAAGCCTTTATTAGTCAGGGATTGCCTTTGAATCATAAGGTGGCCAGGTACAATACAGGGATCAGGGAAGCTTGTGAGTCATGTGCACGCACTCGCTTTTATGTTGCAAGGGGACGTTTGGCATTTGTGTGTAAAAAAGGTAATGGGTGATGGGTTCTGTTCCAGTGGGTTGTGCTGTTGTGCGGACGAAAATGGGCACGGGCACATCTCCTTCGAATATAGCTAAAAACATTTAGGAAGGGGATGAGCGAGTTGGTCAGAGCTATGGTAGTTGAGGAGAGGAAGCCAGAGTGATAATCGTATATTACCCAGTCAATAATACCACACTCTGGACAGCAGTTGTGGTGACTGCTGAGGTATCGTACATGGGGGACCGTGGTGATATTGATTCATTGACGCTCGCTTTGGAAACATTGGAGAGACGGATGGATAGCTTTCGTCTCAACTTATGCACCCCCACAACCACCAAAAATGCCGGAACCCGCAAAAATCTTGGAAGTCAAAACTTGTAAATGTCCCTCAACCATCAGAACTTTAAGGAACAAAAACAACTTGGGGTGGAATTTTTGGAACCCCGAGATCATGATTTCGGGATTCGGAATCACACATTTAACTCTTAAAATCACGTCCCTCACTCACTCCCGGAATCGTGGTTCGAGATCACCTCTTACCAAAAACACCCGTTCCACTTTGGTCTTTGACTTTTTTTTTTTTTTACTTATCAGGGTTCAGCTTAAGATGGTATTTTCTTTTTCTTTTTTTTCGCTTTTCTTCCCATAACATGCAAATCCCTTCAAGCTGACGAAATACAGTAGAGAAGAGTCACGTTGGTTTTCATTACTAATGATATTATTGTCATGCAAATACGGTAGGCTTAGATGGATGATTTTTAAACCGGAAAATAAGCCCCCCAGATCAAATCGGGTTTTTGGATACAAACACCGCTTACATTGGGATCATGATTTTGTATTACAAATTGTGTTTTTGGGTCGTAGCAGCATTTGCCAAACACCCTCTTGGTTATCATGGTTGGTATCATCGGGAGGCGGTATATAGCATGAAGAGCCAGAAATATACAAAAGAAAAAGGAACCAAAAACCTCACAGGTGAATCTCGGGAAAGAAAGAAGGGCTGGGGTATGAGGAAATGGAGAGGATAGTGGGAGAATAAATTTATTGTCTTGGGGGACCATTTGTGGTACACGTATCTTGTGAAAGATCATAGGTCGAAAGTTGATACTAAAGTGTGCTTCGGGTTTCCTCATCCTCAGACTCACTTGGTATTCATGGTACAGCCGCGGCTGTTGTATAGCTAATGACACCAATGGTGGTGTTTCATTTTCCCATTTGTAAAATTGTGATAGCTGAAGGAAATTCATGAGTTTTGGGTTGTTTAAGCTTTAGCTTCGAGGATCTGTACTGTGCGTTGTGATGGTGGTGGTCGTTGTTGGCTGTCGCAGTCAGTTCCTGGTCAGCTTCTAGTCATAGGGGTCGCAGATTGTAGCATAGGTATGACACTTTACCGTACTCAAGTAGAGCTTTTTGTTTTATTTATTCGGTACAACCTTCCGTTTCCTCCCAATAGCTTTTGAAAGAAATATACCTGCACACGTGTTGAGAGGAAATCACCTTCTCTTTACGTTCTTGTTCAGTTGGAGCCGAAATTACACCGCTATCTCAACAGCGGAGAAAACAATGGCAGCAAGTTTTGGAATCCTCAGATTGAGTGAGCCATTAAAATGAATAGGCTATGATGGGTAGAGGGGATATTGTCTTGCGGTCCTTATTCCTTTCTGTGCTGCCAGCAGAGTACTATATATACACGATTTCTATCAACAGAACAAAATCTTCTTCCTCTTCGGAGGACTCTTTTTCTTCCCTTTTCCTCATGCTCCTTTTCCATCCACACTCCATAACATCCTCCAAGACATGTTATCCCTCAATCCCTTTCGCACCTCTCATCCTCTTACACGCTTCTCCTTCCTTCGCCTGCAATCCTTAATCATAGCCGAACCATCGTTTGTTTCCGAATCGTTGTAGTGTGACATTCTCCGTGTTCCATCTCTTAGTTCCAAACATCTAACACCTCCTAGTGTGATTTCTCAAACCTTGCAAACATCTGCGCTGCAACTACCTTGTAGTACAAACAACCATCGCTTCAACTATCATCTTCCGTAACACTTTCCCCAACATAACTTTTCTTAGCAAAACATCCATTTTCGTAGGTGATCCGTGGTCGGGCGGGGTCATGGTAGGGTAAGGGATAGGGAACGTTCGCCAATAGTCTAACAGCCATGTCATCGCTAAGCATCTCGAGGAGGGAAGGTGGGTGGTACATAGCATACCGGTTCTCAAACTCCCGAAAACAATTCACGACAATTGATACGGTCTACTCTTGCATTTGTCCCTCGCACAGCGGCCAGAAATACAAAGGCTAAAACAACTTCGCGTCAGCTGGAGACAGTGCAATTCCAGCGACACGGTGGGACCAAGCGTAGCGAGCCAGAGGCATGGTCCCTCGGCAAACAAAAATAAGATTAACCAAGAAAACTGGCTCCGGAGAGCCGTTTCAGAGATTAAGCTGAAAAGAACAGATACTACATTTGATCTAAGCCTGCTTGATAGTTAGCGGATTTGGGATAATAGAGGAGTTGAAGTAGCGGTGGACTTACCAAAAGGCAAAGAGAGCTGGAGAGGGAAGAGGGGGGTGGGGGGAGGGGGCCTTATATAGGAAAAACAAATGGTGCCAAGAGATTCAGTTTTGGCCGCTCGTGCCTGAGTTTAGGGCTTAGGGGGAGGGTCCGAGTGGGTGCCGGTGTACCTATCATATCATAACGTGTGATGGAATTGCGGCAGCATTCTGGTATCATGAGGTACGTAGTCTACGAGGGTATGCGTGGTGGATAATCCTGTCGGGGCCTGAGCGGGTGGGAGCGTTGAGCTTAACTGTATTATAATATGCTAACGACCATTTTAGAAATACTTTCGGGGTTTGTGCACTGATGGAATTTGGGGTGGTTTATGGTATGACTCCCCACCAAATCCGACACAGCGCCAGAATATTACGAGGTGATTGAAAATGATTTGATTAACTCAGCATATGAGGTCTGCTAATGTGTCCCAGCTGAAGAAGTACGATACTCGAAAAGACACTTGTTTTTAAAATAAATCTTGGAAATAAAACATACAAAAACTTAAACTAAAAGCAAAAGAGCATGGACGAAGTAAATATCTTTGTTCGTTATATAGAAAATAGATAGCAGTAGTCATATAAGGAGACTCAGAAAATATATATTTCTGTAGGAAAAATAAGCTTAAAATTGACTTTGATAGAATCAATTTTGGCAAATAAACCTTGTTATATAGGGGTGTGTTCAGCGCATACAAAAATATTATGATATAGTTTTATTTCAATATATATTTTTATAGCGCGAATATCAGAATATAGTATATTGGTTAACTGCTAGAAATAAGAATCCTTTACAATATTATTATAAAGATTATTTATATATAACCAATAATCAATTCAACTTTAACATGAAATTCTTTACCATCTGTGGCCAATAGACCATTGTCCATAATTGCTGCAGGAGATTGATAGTGTTTATACTACTTCATAGTTTTTGTTCATGAAATATAATATCCTAGAGAAAGAATAAGATGAGGCTTTTTTATTTTGAAGTAGTTTCTTCAACTTCACTTTTATAACAATAATAGTATTTTTATTGTATTGGTATATATATTTATTTTATGTTATTTGTTAAAACCAACACCAATATTTCTGAAATTTATAACAAATTTATTTTAGAATACAAGCTATTTGCGACTTTTATTGTACTATATATTTATTGTAATATACTGCATAGGACCTAAAAGAAATAATAAAAGTTTACGAAAAAATGGTATAGGAACAACTATGATAGAAAGAACAAACACAAACCAATGGAGAAAAGAAAAGAACAAAAAGTAGAGAGAAATTGAAACTTGGGAACTATAATAAAAAAATCTAGATATCAAAAACTTCTAGATAAATGATATTCTTACAGAGCTTTTCTCAATATATGATTCCTAAACTACTTCTTATAGGTGTTAATTACAATGTGTCCCAATGACTATCCTGGTACCTTATTCATAGTCATTACATGTACAAATGAAATTGGAAACTGGAGTAGGATCAGGTTAAGGGAAATGTCTTGTGATACTTACGAAGAAATGCTGTTTCCAGGAATCAGAACCTTATTTCTAGCCATTGAGCCTATCATTAAAATCCCTCTAACTATAATATCAGTTATAAATTATCTTAGTATTAGTAGATCATAATAAAATATAAACTAATTAAATCATATACAATTATAGGGTGTAATTTAGTTTAATAAGAGACTTTAAAAGTCATGTAACAATAAGTCTTGTTCTATTATTTAAACTTGGTCATTGATTGAGTTGTCTTAATAGTATAATAGCTGTACAAACCTTTAAACATAACTTATGCAGCAGAAGTACAGCAAGTTTTAAGATATTCAAATACTCAAATGAATACATTATTCATTTCTCATCTCTAATAGAGTCAGTACTAAGATAGGTCTTGATTGGTGAGTATGGAGTATGACAAAAAAGCAGTTCCTGATTGATATCATCAACATTTCTGGCTGAAAGAATACATCTTTCAGCTGAGAACCTCATTGAACAATTTG